GGGGTTAAAGATTTTACCTTTTTGCGCATTTTGCCTTTTGAAGTCGAAGACTGTGGCCCACTCAATTTTCCACTACAAGCGTGCCCGCCAAATTTGGCATTGTCTCCTCCCTTTGGTGATCATTCCCTCTGACCCGCATCTACACTTCAAATAAATTTGGAACGAGATTCCGGTTCACCTTAGTACAGAGGAAAGAGAGCTTGTTGCTCCCATCTGCTGGGCGATTTGGTCTGATCGAAACCTCAATCTTCGGACGAAGCACCTCCGTTCCTTGGAGGCTAAATGCAATTGGATCACAAGCTATGTAAACAGTTACCACTCTGAGCAGGCATTGCTGGTTTCGGAGGCTCTTACGAGCTTTGTTCGTCGTGCACCTAATGGCAGCCCTTACCATTGGATTCCCCCTCCTGCTGAGTTCCTTAAATTGAATGTTGATGTGGCATGCAATAGCAGCCTTGCTTCGTCTGGCTTAGGTTTAATCCTTAGGAGCTCCAACGGGTGGATTATTGCAGCTTCTTCAAAATTTTCCTCTCTGTCTCCCTCTCTCAACTTCTCGATGAAACCAGAGCTATCTTGGAGAGGTTACGTTTGGCTATTTCTTTGAATTGCTGTAATTTGCAGGTAGAATCAGATTGCCTTTTTGCTATTAAACTTATCCCGGGAGAAATTTCAACGTTGAGGGATGAATGAAGTTGGATTTTGGATATCAGGAACCTGGCTCTTCAATTTACTTCTATTTCATTTCATCATACACCTCGTTCTTGCAATGTGCCGGCTCATTCTTTAGCTAAATATTGTTTTACTGATTTACCTATTCACAGTTGGGATTCTAAGGTGCTTTTGAACATTGAAAGTGCTTAGACGAGAGAGAGAAATCCAAAAACACTCCTAAATGAGGTAGATTTAGGGTGTGTTTGGGAGTGATTTTGGCATGGTTAAAATCACTTTTGTCATTGTCAAAATCACTTCCCTTTCCATGGATCGTGTTTGACAAGTTAAAAAATTGATGGTATCACTTGAATAGTAATTTTGAAAAATCAATTATGCTTAAATTTCTTTTTTTTTTAAATCATTCATTTTATCATCATTCCCAAACACGCATTTAGTCTAACATTTTGATTTCAAGTCCACTTGAATGAGGGGTGAATTTAATTTCCACTTCCAAAGCTAAAAAAGAATGTCGTTCATAGATCAACCAATAAAATCACACAAAATCGAAAAGTAATAAAAAAAATTAGATAAAATACACTTGTGATCCTTGAGGGTTGAACTTGGTGTCTATTTGGTCCTTAAAGTTTCAAAAGACACATTCAATTTTTGTCCCTAAAATTTGGAAAATGGTTCTAAATGGTCACTACATTGATTAGCGGAAAGAATGACGTGGCAATTACCTTGCTTGCTTGACTTGCTCTTAGAAAATTATATTTGTTTTATATTATATTTGTTTTTGTGATTGGACTGATGCGTTGGCAACCTTTCTCTTCCTCTTCTTCTTCCATTCTCTTCCCCGACGGCGCTGCTGTTTCAGATTTGGAAAAATTAAGGAGAGACCTTCGTTTTAGATATGGAAAAATGAAGGTTGAAGGTGAGCTTGTTGGGAAATTGAAGACCCTGAATAATTTCTCCTTCCACAGAAAATATTCACACACAACTACAATATTCAAATAAGGAAGAAACTGTAAAAAACAAGAAAAACGACACAGCAAATTATACTGGTTCACCACTAAGGCTACGTCCAGTCTTCCACTCAGATGTGGGTAATTCACTAATAATTATTTAAGGATTAGAATACAAAACTCTCCCAAAAAATATCCCCTAGAGGTCCCAACAAAAGTCCTCTAGCTTCTAAGTATTATAACACACTATACTTAGGTACAGGAATGAAAAACACTCACTAAACCCACTGGATACAGAATCCTTTTCAACACTGCCCACAACCACTCAAGTCCCTTTTATTTGGATTATGTACAAATGAAACCTTAACATAAGGGTTCTATATATAAGAGGCCAAATATGCTAATTCTTATAGGAAAACAATATTGTAATCCTTATAAGACAACAATATTCTACTCCCGGTAGGAATTGGTAATAGTGTTGAAAAATCCTTTTCTTCATAGGACATGTGTTTCCTGTTTTGGCTCCATAATCCCAATAGAGCTCTCCCTTTCGTTTTCACTATCTTAAGGACCCCTCAAAAACCATATATGAGAATTTCATCTGGTGAAATTTACTCAATTAAATCCTCTTCGTTGAGGAATATTGGATGCTCCAAGTAAAGTGGAGCCTGCATTAAGGAGTCAAATAATTCAATTATCTCTCCATATATTTCCTAAAAAAATCCCATTCCTACCCATTTTCTAAAATCACCGCCATTAATGATTACAGAATTAGTGATTTTAACACAAGAGAATAAATGATGATTGATTTTGTGAGAGTGATTTTCATATAATTATTTTAACATTCCGTGTGATTTTGATGGATTAATATTTAAAATTTAATGAGAATATTTAAAAATGAGAGAGCAAGAAGGTAAGAAATTAATTTTGTTGAGGATATTGGGGGTAAAAATGTGGTCACAACCAAGTAGGAAGATGGATATATACCAAAGTTAGAATAAAGCTGTCTAGATTGGAATACACAACTTTGGAAATGTTTTTGTGTGTATCATATCATCTCTTACTCACCACTCCAAAAGCATTAAAAACTTCTTGTGAAAAAGGCAAGTTTCTTATTCTATTCCTCTTCCAAACTTTTTCATATTTGCTTTACTACCCCCCTCACATTCTCTAGTTTTCAAATGCCCCCGGCCCCTTTTGCTTTTTCAAGTTAGAAAGTCGTCGAGGATATTCTCCGAGCCTACTTCATGAAGCTCGTTCCTTGATGTATTCTTTACAAATTCAGTTGGATACACATATTCGGTTCGAGGGGTCCACTCGATGTTCTAAAGGATAGTGGCATGCTTTTTAGTATTGACTCTATAAAAATTATAGAAAACTTAATTGTCATAACGTGAGAGCGAGTGGAGTTTAACAGGGTAACAAGTAATGATGTCTTCGATTCAACCCTGTATGGTGTCATTTTCCTCCTTACTCAGTTTCATATAAAAATCTCACTTGCTTGATCTGGTTTGCTTTTGACAATTAAAAAGTACTACTTGAATCAAATCGAAGTAAAATCACTACTAGAAATTCGGTCTACCGTGATGTTTTTTTGACGTCACAAAAAGCTTTCGTGACGTTTTTAACGTCGTCACGTATACGCCCATCACGAAAGGTATACGAGACGTTTAAAAAACGTCACAAAAAAGGTATACGAGACGTTTAAAAAACGTCACAAAAATTAGCACAGCCAAATATGGTATTTTGGTATTGCTTCCGTATATAATATTTGTTTGTACCCTTCTGTTATTCAAAGGATCATGATACCCTATGAAATTGTTTATAAAGTAAGAAATTAAAAGAAAGAACGATATTCTGATCTAATTTAGGGAGAGAACATTAGATAATTGTTTAGAAATAATTACAAGAAACATTTTAGTTCAAACTATCCGTTTTTTAGTAGAACAACTAAGATGGGAGGATCATAATTAAATTCATGACCTCTTTGTTAGTAACAGACGTAAATTAGTGTTTAACTAAATTGGTGTTTGCGGTTGAAAATAATCTTTAAATGGTATAAAATTTAATATCATCCAATTAACTTCTTTGATTAGTCCCACTTCATAAGCCATCTATTGACTAAATTAAACTATTTAAAAACTTGAACTTCATAAAATATTCAATATTTAATATTCAAGCGATCTGGTGGGACAAATAACAACGGGCCACGTGTCGTAAGAGGTCTCATGAGTAATATGAACTAAGAAACACCGAAACATAAATACCAACTAATGACTTGATCTTAAGGACTGACTTATTGGAGAAACAAAGATCGAGACATTCGAACTAAGGAAAACCGCCCTTCAACGATCCTCACTCACTATTATCGTTGGATTCTCTCTGTCCTTTACGGAACACTCAATATGGCCGAAGAGCGGTCTCACTTAAGACCTATAAATACAAGATGTAATTCGATCTTAAGTACATGATGTGAATCTAATTGCTAATATTAAATGAAATAGATGGATCTGCCACTAATTTGAGCATCATAATACTCTCCTTTCTTTTGCAAGAATTTTTTTTACAAGTCGTTTGAGTTACAAAATGTTGCTGAAACAAAGTCCTTTCTCATAAATCTTTGAGCTCGACATAAATTTAGAGTAATTTAGATCCCTAATCAGCAATAAATTGAGTTTTTTTTTTTTTAATTTACAGTAATTTTATATTTTAAATATATTCAATTTTTAATTAACATGTTTACATTTTACGTTAAAACAGATATCTTATCCACCAATTCAGCCCTTTTCTAGATAGCATTGACCATTGACCATATTATTAAGAAAAATAATGTGCATTAAAAATATAAACAAATATGATATGACTTAAAGGTAGTTCTATCATTAGTGTTTATATATACACACGCGTATGATTTAATTTATATTGGAATTAATTTAATTTTTAACTAAAACAGTTAAAAGGAAAATTATATATACTTAGGATGTTTAATAGGCACGTTAAGTGATTCACTTAACTAGATTCGTAGATTGCCCATAAAGAAATGTACTAATCTATTCAACGTATCTAAGCATATGTTTTATGAAAAATTCTAAGAACAACATTATATATTTATGGTTACCGTCTCCAACATATTAAACCTTCTATCGGTCTTCTATATTTTATCCAATAGTAAGAGTTATGCTAAAATATAGTAAGCGAGTCAACTGAACCTAGATCAACTGACCAAGGATATATCAACGATAAAAAAATTGAAGATTGGAATTTGATAGAACAATCTAACACTTTTGCCTAAAGATGAAAATACATTATTTTACATATACATTAGAGATTAAATAAATGATTAATTTACCAACATGAATGAATATGAAGTACACAAGAGACCCAATATCAAACCCACACCAATAACATATTGCATCTTTTTTTTTTCTTTCTTTTTCCCATAAAAGAAAAAGGCATTCATATTCCAATTATCAATAGTGGAAAATAAAAAGGAAAATTAAAATAAAAAAATAAAAAAAAGCAACATAAGAAGCTAAAATTTGAACTTAAGTGGGTCCGACATGTCGAATCTTTTGAACTTCCTCTTTGTTATTTGCAGCCTTCCTTTTCAATGAACCATTCTATGCCATGCAACAAACAATCACTTCTTTTTATATACTCTCTGTGTGGAATTCTTTTAGAGAGAGAGAGAAATAGAAGAAGAATAAGGGAAGCTAAAAAGTTTTTAACTTTAAAGAGAGAACCACCACCAAAGCCATGGCCAAATTCAAAAGAAGATGTAGGAGAGAGAGAAGCTTGATTCTAGAATCATCCCTTTTGAAACCCTCTCTTCATTTGCCACCTGTCAAGATTTCGATACCGAAAAATATTAGGATCGGGGTTAAATTGTCATTTTAGTTCTTATGGTTTGTGCTAAGACTCTATCACTTTAAAACTTCAAATTTTTTATTGTTTAAATGTTTGTGCTAGTACTAAAAATAAAAAAAAAAACATGTTAGGTGAGAAATTTATTAACATCTTTGTGACCGTTAAAATGTTTGACATTTTCAAAATTATTGTGACGATATTGAAACTAATTAATACAAAATATAAACTAAAATGGGAATAATAAATTATGGTTAAATTATGTTCTATCCGCCAGAAAAATCCACATATTTTCATCTATTTTTACTCATCCCTCATCTTTAATACAATCTTAACACATTTAACTAAATAGAAAATATTACTTTAAAAGGCACATAAATAAATATTTTTTTTAATATGGTGACAACCAAAGCCATGATCTATAAAGTTTGATTAAATCGTAACGACTAAATTGAAAGTAAAATCAAAATTTAGGGCCAAATTTTTTGGATGAAATTAAAATTATGAAGAAATTTATAATTTAACAAAAATTATGGAATATTTACCTTTTTGTTTGGCACAATAATGGCTTAGGAAAGCGAGGAAAACAACGACGAAGGCAATTCCAGCGATGAGTCCAATTATTACTGCGAGGGTCTTTTCAATCTCTACGTCGTCGTTTCTAACATCTGCAAAAAATAACTAATTACTCTCTGAAAATACGATGGATCTTACTTTATTAAAATTATTTTTTTCTACTGTCTTTACTCTGTTGGATGGAAATGGCTTTTAATCAGATTGGAATCAGCCTCACAATATTTTCAATTCAAACTTAAATTTAAAATCATTGGATTGGGGTTTCCATGTTTCGAGGTTTAAAAATACAATATTTAGAAGTTTAGGGACGAAGAAAAAGTTTCAGAGTGTATTTTGACGTATATTAGAATAATTAGAAAAGAAAGAGATTTGAATAACAAAAGTTGAGTTTAAATATAAATCTATTTATATGATTATATCTTTTCTTTGATTTATAATCTAGGTTAAAATACTATTTTGGTCTCTGTATTTTCTTTGGTTCATTTTGATATTTGTACTGTTCGTTTTAGTCATTGTATTTTTAAAAAGTGACAATTTTCAAAAGTTTTAGTCCATATTTTCAAAAGTTTAACACAACTACACACCATGAAAATCCTTTACTGTAAAGTCAGAGTTACAATTTTGAAGAAAAATATTGAGAATAGTATTGAAATTGTAATAGAAAAAATGAGATTAAAAATAAAATTAAGACACTAAACTGGTGACTTAGTAGAGATAAAATGAAAATTTTGAAAATATAGAAATCAAAATAAGTACAACGACTAAAATGAATATTTTGAAAATACAATAATCAAAATAAATTAAAACTGATAGTATAGTATTTTAATCTATAATCTATTTATAAACATATATTTTAAAAAATCCACCTAATTTTTTGAAAAAAAAAGTGATATTAGAAACCTTCACTTATATATATATATATATATATATAAAATATGTGGCTAAAACTTGAAAAAGTATTTTCTTTAGACTAGAAAGATGTTGAAAAGGACTTTAGTTTATTGAATAAAAGATACATTTAGAATTGTGACCTTCTAAAACTACTTTTGTTCTACTCTTTTTTTTTTTCCAAACAAACTTTTGTTCTACTCAATACCCATAAAGAAAAAATGAATGAAAGATTAAAAAATTTAAATAAAATATAGAAATATAAATGCATGAAAAGATGTGAAAGAAAGAAAGAAAGATGGCAATCATCTCATTGACTCAAACATCCAATACACACCTTTACATGCACATGAAATTATAAATAATATTTGCCACTTTCAAGCAAAGTTCATTTCTATTTATCTATTTTTACTTAGTTTAGTACATAAACTAATTCTCTTCATATATTTTTAATTACTAAAAAAATCTAAACCACATTAAAAAATATAAAAAAGAGTCTTACCCATTTATGTATAAACATATTATGTTTAGCCTATTTTTTTTTAACCTTCTATATTAATTGTTAAATGCTTTCGTTATATAATATTTATTATGGGTAAAATCTAGAAAAGTCAAGAATTCTTGATAAATTTGAAAGAAGAAATTAAAAAATTCTCTTCTAATAACTACTTGCTCGTTATAACGAATGGGTAAGTAAATTAAAAAAATATCCAAATTCAAAAACTAAATTTAAAGGAAAAAAAAGTCCAATATTAACAACTAAAACACATTTAATTTAGAAAAATACTTCAACCTTAACCTTGACTAGTGATGCTTATCAACCTTAAAAAATTGCCCGCTAATTATTTTTTCAAAAAATTCTCAATTTTTGTAATTTGGTTTAATTTAACATTTTAAAACATATTTCTCTCCCCTCCAATAATTCAACCACTTTCCAAGGTGGAATTCCAAAAACTACTTACCATTTCCGCCGCCGCCGCCGTGGGGGCGCACTCCGGCGTGCGAGAACCGCGCGTAGCACTTCCCCAAGAACACATCCCCCCAGCCGGCGGCCCCGCACTCCGCCCTGAGCCGGCCGACCGCCTCCGCCACGCAGTCCTGGCACTCGCCGGCGCTCAAATC